GAGCTCGCAAAGCTGTATGTCAAGAATCCTGAAGAACTATGGACAAAATGCCAAGTGCTCCTGTTCCTTCAGGAGAAGATCTCCAGAACCTTTACGGCGATTCTACGACGGAGATGGAAGACACATCCAGTTGTGCCGTGCAGAAGACGGATCAGTGACACTCAAGGAGATCCTTCGTTACAATCACAAACTTCGATCCCTTATTGGCATAAGAGCACCTATGCTACTTGCTGCACTTTTTGGTACAAGATCCGCGTTGCTATGGCCATCATGACCGCGGAAGATTCAAAAGGACCGCCACCAGCAAATTCACCTCGATGGTATTCAGGCGGACCAGTGAATCCTGATCATCTACCAGATTCGCCTATCACCGAGATCTACCTCAAGCCAGCACAAGGACAGACAGCCAGAGAAGAACCATCACATCCTGACGGTGATGGGTCGTCTTCTCAACCAGCGCATAACCCAGGACTAGACCTGACACTGGCCATAGCCAGATAATGTCAGATCCTAGCCAGACAAGGTCCGAATCAACGAGACCTTCATCAATCCAAGAGAAGGTGATACTGAAGCCGAAACCCATGCCTAAGCAAAAGGAGACAAAAGATCGAGAACCAGAAGTTCCGGATGTGCCTGAAACACTTCGACCAACTGAGAATGGCCTCATTGTCGATACTGACAACATTGCAGCAAAGATTCTGGTCCATGTTACTGACTCGAAATCCTTGAAGAAGATCCTCGAAGACAAACAGTTGACTCCTGGAACCACGAGACACAAGCGGGGGAGGACCCAGAACCACTTTGCCAATTTCACCGATTTCGTGAGGACCAACAAGCTTCAAGATTTTCCTCCGATGGATCAGCTCACATCACAATCTTCATATCCCATCACGATCAGCCGACATCGGGATATTCGCACACCGCAGGAAGAGTCTGGGAAACAGAAGATGCCGCGCCCATCGGTGACATGCTTATTCATACCGATCCAGCGAATTCAGATGTGGTCCTGATGGAGGAACAATCCATTTTCCATGTGGCCAATGCAACCCAGAACAACCGGCAGATTCAGAAGGAGATTTGGAACAGACTCTACAACATTCCATTGTACTACAATGCCCTCTTGGCGCACAGAGAAAACCGGAAAAGAGATGCACCATCTCAAGAAGATTCTGACACCACTTCCTATCGAGAAGGGTGGAACAAGTGGTACCATAAAAATCCCTCCTGGGGAGAGCTGGAGAAGAGACCAAGATCCGATGACAAATCCTATGACGCCCCATGGAAAACAGATCAGAGGAGAGCCTATGACCGAGAGACTGATACATCCATGAAATGCCTGCACGACTATGTGGTCACCAAGGAACTCGAACCTGTCATCATGGAGAGAATCGAAAATTTGTACATGGAGGACCAGTGCTGGGAAACGGTCGCTCAGAACATGAAGGAAGAAGCCATAGAACTCATGAACTGCCTGACGGACCATGATTACGATATTTCTCCACAAGAAGCAGAGTATCCTGGAGCAGGAAGCTTCGTCCCCGAATCCGGCATCTCCAAGATCCAGCTGGCAAGCATCAAGGCCATGGAGAACAAGCTGAAACCAGAAGACCTAAAGAGAGCAAACGACACGTAGATTTTGCCAAGCACAACCTGAATGTGGCTTTCCGACCCGAATACTGAAGGGAGCCACAGAGCTTTCTGTTCACGATCCGCAGGGCAGAAAGAACATTGACATGTCCATCCTGCAGAACATGAGATCTACAAGGAATCACAATATCCGAGATTCAAATGACATGGTCGTCCCTCAAACTCATACCCAACGTCTCAACGTCCTAACGTTGAATATGGGTAATTTCGAACGACTTTTTTTAAAGCTGTGACAAGAAGACAGGGAAGCTTGCCGAATCCGTGATCCTTGGCATGTCCGCAACAACCCTGCTCACATCCTATGCTTCCAACAGGCAGATGGCATCATGAACCAGCTCGTCCGTGAGAACCTTATGGGTGCCGGATATACCGGAATTGTCATCTCACAGGGTGGCAAAAGGAATCGGATGCTTCGTGAAAGGCGATCGTACCGCCCGTGTCGAACTCTTGAGCCGGATGGCCATCACCAAATCCAAGAGCTGGGTGATGACCGGTGCATACTTTCGTGTGTGCCATGGACTCACATCCATTGCGCGAACCGGCCCATCCAGAGATTCATTAGTCACCACGGAGCCAAACCTAGATTGTACTATCAGCACCGGGGGCAACATGAAGAAATCCAAGCTTCCTCGTAAGGATGCGTTCCCCAGGTGCAAAACCCTTGAAGTCTACAATCGTCTACATGGAGATGGACAAGGATAACTGCGAGGAACTGCCTATCGTTCCCAAGGACAAGTATGCAGATTTTCCAAGATACATTGTGCATAGAGCCGGATTGCCGTTCCACACCGTGGGTGTATACAAATCCTATACATCCACCTACAAGAACCTGATGAAATTCCTATATCGAGGAGCCCTGTTCCTCACCGATTTCATCACAGGCGATGCAAATTCCGCGGCGAACCGGTGTCACAAGAAGCAATTGGTCTTGAATCCTATGTTTTCGATTCTTTCTGTTGCAACGGAAGATTTCAGACTGCAGACAGATCCGGCCAATATGCTTAAGATCACCGCAGAAACCAGTGCGTCTCTCAGATCCATGATCGAGGCCGCCCTCAACTGCAAGAACGAGAAGAAGATTGAAACAGGTGAATTTTATGGCATAGTGGACTGCATTGTCACTGACGTGTTCCATTGGTCCAAGACCAAGGAGATGAGACATGCGATCAAAGCATATTTGAAGGCTCTGTCCCGTAATCCCGACAATCGAGATGACCCACAGGACATCGAGCACCTGGGCTATGCTGTCACATCCGCGGAGAGATGCAAATTGATGACCAACAAGATGCTCATGCTGGGAGAGAATGACTCTGATTGGCACCATCCACTGCTCGTCAATATCAGCTGCAACAGCTGGCCTCCGAATATTTCCCAAGATTCTCGATATCAGAAGAACCGTTGGGATGTCCGAGACAGAGGCTACTCTTAGGTCACATATGACCATATTCTCTAATGCAGATGCGATCCATTCCATATGCGATATGCTCTTCACTTTGAAAATGCTCAGAGATCCAATGCGCATTCATTTTCAGAATGATGATTTTCGCTCCGGACATTGGCTCTTCTCGTTTCAATCGTCGATCATGTACATAGCTCAGATTCAGTTTAGAATTGACATCGCCGGAAAACTTGTGCGATTCATTCTTAATGGCTACGGTACAGCAACTTTCGGGCCTGTAGAACAAAGGCAATTATATTCCAATACGCTGTGCCATGAGTTGAAAGAAATGTGTGTCTGTTTTGTTTCTTGTTTTGCTTCTTGTTGAACCAAGACTCCACTCATAGGCAACATGTACATTCCGCTGCCATTTGGTTCACAACCATATGTACAGGCCTGGTGTGTATTGACACTACCTTGCGGAACAAGAGTGCTTGCAGCATCTATAACATTTATCCCTTTCACCAACTACGTGGCCTATATACTTGACTTCACCGGAATAGGTTCAGGGACAACCACGAGGTATTATCTATTGGGGCCGCGATTGAGGCCCCGGTAATCCAACCTCAGGGGGGGTCCCCCAGGTACCGCGCGGTAATTTGATGACGTTCCACTAAACGTAGTCTTAGGGGAGTCGCCAAACAGGGGACCCAGGCTTGAATGCCCCTGCCCGCTCTTTCTCCTTTTTCCGAAAATCTTGAAAAACTCTGTGTTTTTGGACGTCCTCTTTGCGAAAACGCTGGAAACCGTTTTCTTGTGCGGGAAATGCTGGGGAGCACAGGGGAAATGCAAGGAAGTGCAAGAAATGAGGGGAGGAAATAGGAAGTCGACATGACAGGAAAGCAACGGGAAATGAAAGGGAAACAAAGGGGAACTGAAAGGGACATGAAAGGGACAAAAATGAAAACAAGGGGAGTGCAGGGAGAATGAAAGGGAAACAAAGGACAAGGCAACCAATCGGCACGACGGGAGATGTAGGGAACTGACTCGCAACGAAAGAACGGGACATGCATGGAAAATGAAGCGGACATACCGAGAAAATGACAGGGACATGAAGGGGGAGTTGAAAGGAATGGAAGGGACATGACCAGGACATCATGGGAAACGTGACAAGGACATGAAGGGGAAATCAAGGGGAAAGCCAGTAGTGAGATGACAGTTCAGGGTCATGAAGGGGCAGTGCCCGGACATCGAGGCAACTCAGGGGGGACGTGACGCTGCAATGCAGAGAGAGAGAGAGAGAGAGAGACAGGGAGAGAGTGGGAGAGAGAGAGAGAGACAGAGAGAAAGAGCGAGAAAGAGAGAGAGAGAGAGAGAGACTAGGTCCTCCAGTAGAGAGGTTAGAATAAGGGTGCCCTTTTTCTGTAGAGGGGCGTGGACAGGAAGGAGCCAGGGAGACAGAAAGAGACAGAGACACAGAGAGAGAGAGGGAGAGAGAGATAGAGAGATAGAGAGAGACAGAGACAGGGAGATTGAGGAGAGAGAGGCTTGGGGGGATGGGGAGGATGGGGAGCAGAGGGAGGGAGAGAGGACGACAGAACACGCGGGGGAGGAGACAAGGGAGAGAGGAAGAAGGAGAAGAGGAAGAGGACAATGTCGGCGGACTGAGCCGGAGGCTCTAAAGTCTATTATGTCCAGTTGGGGTTCCTCATTTAGAGACAAGCGTATCTACAATGGCCCTTCTTCCACTAGTTTGGTCTACCTGTTTGCGACTGACCTATCTCCTGGGCATCTGTGTCCACCATTCTAGCGGCCGCTCCCTATTGAAGCATCTTTTGCTGGCCCATTAGACTGGAGTAGAAGCCTGGGAATGGCCCATTAACACACGATTCATGGTGTGAAGCGACAAATTTGGAGGACACCACAGTGGGAAGTCACTTCTAAAGCGGCCTCCCCACGTCCACGTGTTCCCCGCCTCTGCGCGAGGAAAAACACGTTTCTTGCAGGCGGCCTGAGCCAGGTCCGTGGGTTTCATGGAAGCGTCTGGGCTTTTGAGGGCACCTTGGGGTAGCGGTTCGCCCGACTTCAGGCTGGGCTCCGTAGGCTTCCTTCTGTCTGGAGGCCATCCCATGAATTCGTATCTGATAGTCAACATCAAAACCTTGTAGAGAACCTTCCCAAGCCATGGAGAATTCGGACCTTCGTTTCCCCCAAGGTTGGCTTCACATGGACGAAACCTGGCTGCAGACCCCCTGCGGCACTTGGTGCGACGGAACGTTGTGAGAGCTAGTCAAAGTCGCCCCTGCAAATGACAGGGCTAAATTGCTAGATACTTAAATACAGTGTTCGCGTATGATCATGACCAAGTTCATCTGGACTTTGACCATGAGTCATTGTAGGCTATGCTCCTTGCCTGAGCTACGAGCATTGCATCAATTTAAGCAGTTCTCTTTCTTTACCTCCGAGATCCGAGGGCCTATCATTCGAGCCGAGTTCTAGCGGGCGGGAACAGAAGCGACTGGTGGCGATGCACATCTGCAGACACCAGCCCAAAAGACAACTCCATGGCATGTTGTCAAAATGGGGGCAGCACTTGGCCATGGTTCAAAACCAATGGTACCATCTTGGGATAGGTGCACCACCCATTTTAGTCTCTTTTGGTGGGGATTGGGATTTTCACTGGGGGTACGGGGTTTTGACCCATAGCTCTTTCCATGAGGGGAATGTTGGGATCCCGGGAACCAGTGTTCAACATTCAACAAGAGATGTGCATGTTGCTAATACTGCGCATTGCCTGGTGACAATTGGATGCCGTTGTTTCACTTCCCTTGCTCCCCTGCTGTTGGAAAATCCTTCCTCATCTGCCAAGAGAGCACCTTCCCGTCTGCCGATTGTACACCTCGGTGGCACCTCCCTGCCACATGTGGGTCAACACCCCCCTGGATTGGAGTGTTCCCAAGGGAACTATGACTCGTTTGCCCAAAGCAAATCGACCTTTTGGTGTTCCCATGTTGGTCCATGTCTAGTCATGAACCCAAGTTTAACCTTTTATTTCCAGATCCTCTCGGCAACTGAGACGACCATGGCCGACACATGGAGCTTTCACCATGAGCTGATCCACGTGAAGGTAGCAGTTCCTTCTCACCATGCAAATAGGACTCTATCTGACCCAAAGGCTTGATCAGACTTGACCCCCTGCAAAAAGCTAACTAAGTGTTCGCTGATTGAATGGGTGCTGGCAGTTAAAAAGGCAAGCACACTCTGGCAATGATGGGACCATAGGTCAACTTTTGGAAAGAACAAATGGGTTTCCCTGGCAAATTTGGCGCAAAACCCATCTAAACCAGTGGAACCCTTCCATTTCTATCCAAACCAACCACGTCAAAAGGACAGCTCTGGGACATGTTGACCTTCCACTCCCCAAGTTCCACTCGCCTGCTGAAGCGCGCCTCCTTTTCCTGGCCGATTTTTATTCGGCGATGGGCGGGTGTGTCTAGTGGCCTCGTCTTGGCTTCCAACCCAAGGGGCACGCCCCGTTTCACCAAAAAAATCGTGGGACTTCTCCAGGCTGGTCGGCCGAATTGTGAAGCGACTCCCCAACGACCTTCCCTTTAGCAATCCAGAGCAGACATCTGCAGCAGAAAGCGACCAATGAAACCAAGGCACTGCTCCCCAACAAAAGAACTCTGATAGTATAGGAAGCTCCAAACAACATTATTTGTATGTTGTCACTGAACCAAAGGACGCCAAATGCACAGTTTACGGTTTGCGGTTTGGGACAGTGACCAAACATTGGTCAAGACCCGGGTACCACAAGATCAAATGATTAACTTTGGGCAACCTTTGTGCTGAGAGGCATTGATGCTGTCGTCTGGCAGGCTTTTGACCAGCCAGCAAGCCAAGCGAGCCAGCCAGCAAGCAAGCCAGCAGGCAAGCAAAGCAAAGCCAAGCCGGCAAGCAAGCCCACGCACAACTTCCGCCCACTATCCAGAGGACTCTGACATTGGGGGGAGTTCAGGAAGGTTCTTGGTCTTGGGGGGATGTGGGGGTTGGGATCCTGTGGTCACGTACATACACAAACACACACACACACACACACCAAAAAAACAAAAGCATGTGCAAAGCCCATTCGTGAGTGTTAGGACTTGTTGCCCTTGTGCAAGACTTGTTGCCTTCAATCCGAAAGCGTGCAACTTGAAAACAATGTTTCTGCACGAACAGTTGGCCCATGTCACCTACTGGAAACAAAAGAACAGGCACCTGGGAAAGGGTAAACGGATAAACTAGGGCTGTTAAAGGGCACTGAACATGTGAAGTGCCAGGCTGTAGCAAGGATGTTCCAAGAGCCTGAGCCAAGGATGTCGCCCCGCGCTTGTGACTTATGGGAAAAGCCGCAGCACGTCCATTGCAATCCAAGGGCTACTTTCAGAGACCAGCTCGACCTGGGTTGGTGAAATGGACCAACTTCCATGCATGCCACACATGTCACTCGTTCCAAGCCTGGTCCCAACTTGCTGGCCGGGCATGGACTCAAACTAAACCACTGCCTGGTGGTTTCCTTTTGGAGCATCATCCAACTGGTGGTTTTCTTCCAGAGGATCTCCTGACTTTTGGTAACATCGGCTCCGCGCCTTTCCGGGGGTCTGGAAGCACGGCCACAACTGACCCAGCACTCGCAGCAGGGAGCTCTTGCCGATGCCACTGGGGCCTGAGCAGATGGCTTGACGTGTGCTCTTGACGTGTGCGCGGTTGAGCGCCGCGCCTTCTGCGGTTTGGTTTTACACGGGAGACAGGGCAACACCACCATTTTGGGGACACCATTTCCGGGATTTTGTCACAAACCCATTTAATTATGTAGAGTGGGTAACTAAGAAAACCACCCTTTAAAGGTTGCCGAGTGTAGGCTGTCGTAGGCCATTGGACGTGGTTTCAACTGGTTTCAACCACTGAGGCCCTTTCAACATGCGGCTGCGGAACAGGCTCCATGAGCCATGGCCCCTTCTAAGGGTTGGTTGCCAGGGGTGTTGCTCAAATTCCTTCCCTGCGAAGAGTGCGTTTACTGCAGCTTAGTGGCTAAATACACATCTTTTCCAACAAAGAGCCTAGCTTGGTCAAGCCAATAAGCAAAGAGGTTGCCGTCCTGAAGGAAGGATGCGCTTGACATCCAACGGGATCTTGATTCGCCAACCGCGGGATTTGGTGGTAGAGGCCGGTGGGGAGCAGAGGGCGGCAAAGGGGTGATGGGGAGCGGTGAAGGGTGAAGATAATGAGTGATGCAGAGTGGTGAGTGCTGGGGAGCATGAAAGTGACAAAGGAGCAATCAAAAGCTCTCCATTGCTTTCAGCGTCCATTGTAGTAGGCAACCAGGGCAAACCATGTAACATTTAAGGGTAAACGTATCTGGGTATACTGGTACACTTGGTTGAACGTAGATGGCGCAACTTCCCCAATTCGATTTAGTCAGTCCCTTACCCACCAAACAACGCATCGTGCCATCTACCTTCCAGGGCAGACGCTGTCACCGAGAGGGCCCCCTGCACTGGTGTCCTTTTGGCTTGGCAACGAGTTGGTTTCCCTTTCTCCGTGTGACTGTAACTGAGGTGTGAAGGGGTCAAAGTACTCAAGGTACCAAGAAACCCTTAGGGTACTACTCACTTCATGAGTGGATTAGCCGAAAAGAGTGGGAAATAGTCCGGACTTGTCATTTTCCGCTGACTTCTGGGTGAATTACGAGATTTCACCGACCTAAAATAAGGTGCTTGGAGGGCTGCTCCCCACATAAACCACCATTTGGGGAGAGGTCGTGTGAGGTCGTTATAATTCACCCAGTAACGTGGTCTTCCCAAAAAACATCGGGGACTGAGACGAGTACACGATTCGAAGCTGAGGCGAGAGCCCATGATAAGACAGCTCTCTCCTTCGTGGAGGGTGATGCTCACCTAGCGACCGGAAATGCAAAACTGCAGGACACCTAAGGGAAACTACGGGAAAAACCAAAGGGACGCCAAATCCAACGATTTGGGGGCCTCCCCATGGCCACATTTGTTGGGGGCTGGCCCCTCTTGGATGTTCAACCCAGCAAGGGGGATAACAGCGGTTGGTTGAGTTTATAAAGGCTGCCACCCACTGAGCCTGAACCTCAGTAAGAGCCCGAGTCGCTAGTAGTCTAGCGTGAAAGCCAAGCAGTTTGGCAATGTGTAGGAACAAGTTGAGCCATTTAGATCACCTGAGAAAGCCGCCATACCACTCTGCAGAGGTCCAGCTGTAGACACCAAAATAAATTTACCATCACAAACTCCTACTTTGCCACCAAAAACAGAGCTGCACCTTGAATTCACGTCCCGGGACCTTCCAGGCTCCTGCTTTCCAATGGAAGCCAATCAGCGTTGCTCCGAAAGGTCTGCTAGAAAATTGGCTCCGGAAGAGAAAGGTCAAAGGAAGGTAAACAATTTTATATCCTGGAGGTCTGTTCATCTTGTGGTTCCGAACCCTCATCTTTGACACTTGTCAATTTCCTTCCCGGCCTCCGGTAGGAGGAGCCGTAGGCCGTCAGGGGTGTAGATGTCCACATCCTGACGGGATTCAGGTTTGTCAATCAAAGTCTGACAGGATTGCCCTCCCACGAATCATGGAAGCTGACAGGAGCTGGGAAAGAGTGTAAACCAAATACCCAGCCCGTTTCTACTTTTTGCGGGAAACATTCAAACTCGCGATTTAGCCCCTGAATCACGAGGTTGATTCGCAATTCACCTAACTGGATGAGTCGAGTGTCTTAAAACACGGGGATGTCCCAAGCCCAACCGCAAAAAAGGTCCCCACTAAAAAAAGATACACCCAGTTCCTGAACAATCCCAAAGGGACCGCAAAAAACCATCGGGTCCGAAGAAAGCCCCTGGAATTCGGTGCTTCAACCGCGAACCGCATGCCGTTTTCGCTCTTTTTGTCTCCCCACTGCGATCAAGGATTGTAAGGGATCGCCCCGTGGATCCCTGCAAACATCGGCGGACATAGTCATATGCTTCTCAGAAACCAGTAAATCTGCAAATTCGCCCAGCCCCCAACCAAGGGGTACAAACATTGCAAGAAACCAGCCGGACAGCGGATCCAAACCCCTTGTGGGATTTTTGGGTGGGTCTTCGGCGAATTTCACGGAGAAATGTCCGCGCCGGTGCATTCTATGAACCCTTTGAGTCCAACGCGCAATGGGGAGCCGATGTTGGTGAATCTGAGTTGCGACATTTGCCATGGGAACCGCCGAGTGTGGCCACTGCCCAAGCTTGTGACCGACCCTGGGCGTTCAACATGATTCGCAAAACCGACGAGAGGAACTAAGACGAGATGATCTTGTTTCAATAGGCAGGGAATGAGGGAATGAACCATATAAACCATCCCCTATGGAATCCTTTAAGGGAACCCCTAGGTTCATTCCCAAAACCCTGGGTCATTGTTTGAGCACCAGCAAGTTCTTCATGTTTTCAGGATGTCATACGGCGTCTTTGGGTGAGGTTTCGCCCAAACCTTGGGTTGGCATTGGTCGGAAGACGTCTTTTGGGGTGTGCTTCACCATTACCTGACCCCCAGTGATGGAAAAGAAACGACACACTCTTGTTGACAGTTGTTAAAAGGGAAGCCCACCCCCTCCAAAAGGAAAAAACGAAGCAACCTGGAGGTGGGGTGCGCACACGGTCCAATAATTTTAGTCACTGGGAGCACAGGGTAAGGCTGATGCCAGCAAATATTCACCGCTCCATGGCAAGCCCGCGGAACCATCCCTCCAGCAACTCCAGCAATTCGCCCTTTGGGTTTCGCGCCTGGAAGCAAATGCCAGAAGAGATCCGTACTGGAACCTGACCGGAGAAACACTGGGCAGGACGCAAACCTACGTTGCGCAGTCGCCAAGACTGGAAACGGCTTCCTCTCAAAGACTCAATTTCTGGCATTGAGGAAATATCGATCATGTTGGCTGTTGATTCGGCCCGCGTCCATCAACCAAACTGACCTAAAAACCATATCCTTTCAACTCTTGTCATAGCACGTGGCCATGACGTGGAGTGCACCTGTCCCTAAAAGTCACATCTATGGCCCCCAAGCCCTTGCTTTCTTTGGCCTTGAGCGATGTCCCTGCAGCTGTTCTGGCTTTAAGACGCTTGCACCTTGACAGGCAGTCTTGCATTCCCCCCCCCTCAAAAACCAAGGCAAACGATTGTTGGTTTGTATGAGAAAGGGGGCCTGTGCACAACCTTCCCAAAAACCTCGAGGGGGGTGTCCCCCGATTCCATGCTTCTGGCAAATTGCCCTGAAGAATGGCAACGGCTGCAATGGCTCCCGCGCTTGCTATGGCTCTGAACTGTTTCAATTTGTACGTATGTTACATATTAATTTGGATGCGGATGTAAAAATAGGTGCATATATCAATATTACAAATATACGCACATTAAACACATATACTTGCGTAGGAGCATGTGTGCGGGCCCAACAAGGTTTGCTGGTCTTTGGCTCCACTTCAAGTGCTCGAATCTGGATCGGACATGTCTACACCGAGACATACGTGTTAATGATACTTCGCTTCGAGCAATCCCCACCCTCCACACTCACGAGCTTACGACGGTGAACACGGTTGTGTGAATTCAAGCATGGTTTTCGAGTAGCTTGGGGCCTATGACTGCTCAACAAGCTTTGCATTGCGAGCCTTATCCACCTGTCTGTGTGTCAAACTCCACTTGTCTGCGAGCCAATCTCGAGAAACATCGTTTCCGTTAACAAAAGACAAGCCCCTTCCAACAAGAAACCCGACGGGGGATTAAACGAAGTTGCTTATTCGCAGCCCAAAGCAACACAAAAGCATCACCCTTGCCTCAGCGTACACTCAAAACACGAAGGCACCAACATGAAATGCAATCCCAACTGTGCGCCGGGCGGGACATTAAGCAAAACCAGGAGCTGCTCTGGCGGGATACTGGCGGGATCCACTGGCGAATGCTGGCGAGCCGCTCCGGCTCGATACTGGCTGGATACTCGGCAGGATCCACCGGCAAGGGATACTCAGCGGGATACTCGGCGAGATCCACTGGCGAGCTACTCTGGCGGGATGCTCGGCGGGATCCACTGGCCAGCTGCTCTGGCGGGATACTCGGCGGGACACTGGCGAGCCGCGGGATACTCGGCGGGATCCACTGGCGAGCTGCTCTGGCGGTACTCGGCGGGATCCACTGGCGATCTGCTCTGGCGGGATACTGGGTGGGTGCGTGGTGTAGAAGCATCGCAAACGTGGATTCCAAAATGAAATCTAAATAAAATCTAAATACTTCGCTTCGAGCAGTCCCCACCCTCCACGCTCACGAGCTTACGACCGTTACAACAAATTCCTCCGCATCCTAGAGACTTCGACTCCAAATTCCCATCGGCCCTTTTGGACATTAAGCAAAACCAGACTTGCTCTGGCGGGATACTGGCGGGGTCCACTGGCGAAAGCTGGCGAGCCGGCTCGATAACTACTGGCCGGAGACTCGGCAGGATCCACCCGCAAGGGATACTCAGTGGGATACTCAGCGGGATCCACTGGCGAGCTACTCTGAGATACTCAGCGGGATTCTTGGCGGGAGCCATTGGCGGGCTGCTCTGGTGGGATACCTGGCGGATACTCAGTGAAATCCACTGGCGCTACTCTGGGATACTCAGCGGCATTCTTGGCGGGAGCCATTGGCGGGCTGCTCTGGTGGGATACCTGGCGGGATACTCGGTGGGATCCACTGGCGAGCTACTCTGGGTACTCAGCGGGATACTCGGCGGGATCCACTGGCGGCTGGTGGGACTCGGCGGGATCCACTGCCGAGCCGCTCTGGCGGGATACTCGGCGGGATCCACTGGCGAGCCGCTCTGGCGGGATACTCGGCGGGATGCACTGGCGAGCCGCTCTGGCGGGATACTGGGCTGGATCCACTGGCCAGCGGGATACTCGGCGGGATCCACTGGTACTGGGCGGGATCCACTGGCGGGCAGCTCTGGCGGGATACTGGGCGGGATCCACTGGCGAGCTGTTCTGGCGGGATACTCGGCGGGATCCACTGGCGATCTGCTCTGGCGGGATACTTGGTGGGGGCGTGGTGTAGAAGCATCGCAAACGCGGATTACAGCCCTGTCGGGTGGGGAATAAATATATTAATTGAATATAAAGACCTAACTAACTAAATGTATAAATAAACAACCCAGCGCTTTGTGGGAACCTGTATACAGCAGGCAAGCCGCACTTGGGTATCTTTTTTCCGGAACCAAGCTCGGTTTCCAAAAAGAAGGAAACCAGATTCCAGATTCCAACCTCACGGTTTCACGGCTCCAGCCTCCCCAATCCACGGTTCCACCCGCCCATTTCACAGCTCTGGCGCTGTATTTTACGGTTCTGCTCCCTATTGTGCATCCCTATTTGTGGTTCGTTGAACCACCGGCCAATTTCAAGGTAATGACTCAAACCAAGCAAGCAAGCAAGCAAGCAAGCAAACATGAATGAATGAATCAATGAATCAATAAATTAATGAATGAATGAATGAATGAATGAATGAATGAATGAATGAATGAATGAATGAATGAATGAACGAACAAACAAATGGATGGATGCATGGATAAATGAATGCATGAATGAATGAATGAATAAATGAATGAATGAATGAACGAACGAACAAACAAATTGATGGATGCATGGATGGATGAATGGATGGATGAAATAATAAACAAACAAACACAATAACGAATAAATGACTGCATGACTGAACGACTGAATGACTGAACGAGCAAACAAACAAATCAACCAACCAATACAATAGATAGATATTCTATACACTTATGAACGTACATAATATAATATATCATGTTGTACACCCTGCGGTCTAATGATTGTCAGCGCTATCAGCGCAGTTTCTAGTACCGTGAACGCGACGTGCGAATGGGATTTGCCTACTGGTGCAGAAGTGCAAGTCGCGGCCCGTTGCTTTCGGCACTGCCGCTTACACCTCGCAAGGGCCAAGGCGAGGCATAGCCGTGCAGCGGGGGCGGGAGTAGCGTCAGACGTTCCGTTGAATTTGTAGTTCGCAATACTTGGAACGCAACTTTCCAGTAGTGCCCGTAGGGCTTGCGCACTTGTTCAGATGCTCCGCATGCAATTCACGACCGTGCCGTGAGCAAACATTCGTGCATTGCCGACCACCCGTCGCAAGGCTCGGCGCGGCCCTACTGCCGTGGGGAGGGTTGTAAATAATATAATGGCGTCGCAGTAGACATTGAGTTCGATTCCTAGAACGTTCGGCGTTTCAGTCGGCCGCAAAGACTTTGCAGAAACCTTCGCTGGTCAGTGTGTCTCACATACTCAAGATCTGCACAACAATGACCACTTTTAAAAAAAAAGCGTCTGGCCAAGGAAAACGCGTGCATTTAAGGTGGCTGCCGGAGAGAATTGGCTGAGAGCCACTCTCGCCATATCAAAAACAGTGTGCGCCGCATGAGTCGGCTGCCCAGGAGCTTCTAGTGAGGCGAAAAGAGCGCCAGTGCTGGCAAGCGCCCACTTGCACAGGCATGGAAGCCATCCTGGGAGTCTGCCGCGTAGAGAAGCCCATTCCAGAAGCCAACACAGCCTGTTGAAGAGGCCATACAACCGAAATTACATCGTTCCATTTAATTACAGCGCGTACCACATGTTGGGTGTCTAGCTGTTTCGTGCTGGTCCAGTTTTGAACCGTGAGTGAAAACCGGCAAAAAGACTGACGAGGCATATCTTCGCTTCTTGTTGCTGCTGCTTCTGTTCTGGTTGTTGTTGGCGGTGGTGCGGCTGGCGTTGTTGCTGTTGCTGTTGCCGTCGCTCTTGTTGCTGCTGCTGCCGTCCTTGTGGGTTCTGGTTGTGGTGATTGTGGCGGTGGCTGCTGCTTCTAGTCTCTACACTCTTTCAGGACCTTGCTGCCTTCAGTTTGATGTGAGGGTGGGGTTCGACCTGCCCGTCTGTTGACTGCTGAACCCTCGCACCTAGCGGTGACTTTACCCTTGTGTTGATGGCCACCTCAGTGATCAATGCGCCCAAGCCTAAGAGCCTTCGGCCGGAGGTTGCCCGGTGGTCGCCCGCTCCTTGGCCTTTCAACCGCACGCAAAAAAAAGGTCCGGGGCACGGCCTGCGGGCCGCACTGCAGCTCCGTGACCGTGCTCTCACCTCAGGTGCAAGCATGTGCCACGGAAATGAGTATGGCACTCAACAGCAAATTTGCAAGTAACTGGCCCTTTACATCAGTAGCTACATGGGGACCAAAACGAGGGAATTTTGCCAGTCACTTTTACCCAACTGTAATCGGGCGATGAGTCTTAGGGCGGACTTCAGGCAAAAAGGTATGAGTTAAAAGGGACCCTTGGACAGCATTTATATGGGGCTTGTTGCCCACAAGACACCTTTGTGAATTTAGCGAGTTTCCCCATGTCCCTCCAATCTGAAAATGTTGGACAAGCCTTATATCTAGTTGCCACTGGCCATGCCTTTAGGGCATGCCACAAAAAAGAAGGCAAATAACAAATGGATTTCGAAAAGGGAAGGGCCGCAGATTGATCAACCAGGGCTTTGAATATTCTCATCACATGCGATGTCCGTCAATGGGATCCCTACGAATGGGACCTCCATAAATCCTTGGCTCTCATTCAAACATGTGCACGTCCCCTCATTAGAGGAGGTCATCCCGTCGCTTTCTGGGCATTTGGCAGCACCCGCCGCTGCCTACCTGGCACCATCGACGGCCGTTATCCTTTTTGGGGTGGTTTCTAATTGAAACCAAAAGGAAAATCACCATTTTCAGGGTCCCCCTATTGACACATCCCCACTTGGGAAGACAGTTTGAGTCCTTCTCCGGGAGTAAATCAATCAATTTCGCACATGCACAAAATTGATTTGCCTCATGGAAGCCACGACATGCACCTCGTTTCAACTAGTTTCCAACTTAAAGCCGACCCCAAAAGGATACCCCCGCGCCCCCCCTCCGACAAAACTATACAACCACGTGTAGGGTTCCGAGCGTCCGCCAAGGCATCGGTTGAGTCTTGGGGAGACGGAAGCTCTATTTGGAGACACCCCCAACTGGGTGTCCCTGTGTTTTGGGGGAACTTGGCGTGGCTTCGAAAGAACCCTGAGAAGGAAACCCACCATCAGAGGCACCACGCCTGGGTTGGGCATGTGTTGGTCTGGACTCGGCTTGGTCTCTTGGTGTACCGCCTTTTTAACTGCTGCCTTTCTGCAAACTCACATGGCACCCAAAAGGGTCCGTCTTTCTTGAGGGTACCTGGTTTTTTTGTGGCTTTAAAGGGAAACCAACAGGAAAACCACAATTTTGCGGGTTCCCTTTTAAAGAACACACACACAAAACACACAAGGTTTTGGGGGTTGTAAACATGGTGACGCAAGCATTGGGGGCAAATTGGGAGCTTCGAATGGTTGCCATTGCTTCCATTCAGAAAAGGGTCCCAATGGCCGAATTGCACCGGCCCGTATCGAAGTTTGAGGGCCCCTTCGTTTTTCCAACCCCGAAGCCCGCCTTTTGGTGGTCTCCATTCTGCCTTTTTGTGGTGTATGGTCCAACAGTTGGGGGTCGGGGGCTGAAGAAACAGGCCCCCAGGTTTGGCAACCGGCAACCAGCTGCATTCCGGCAAAGCTTAAGAAAACCTGCTGCCGTTGTGTTGAAACCGATCCTTGGAAGATACCCCAGGGACGGTTGTCCAGCAGACAACAAAATGATCTTCGAATTGGGACCATTCGCGGTAGACCCCTCAAAGGGTGTCCAACAAACATCAACTGATAACTGTGCATGTCGTGGCTCTTGCAACAATGCATTCGCAGGCATGTTTTGTGTTGGTTGAATTTCACGCCGCCACTTTGTGGCATGTAGAAGCCTGCCTTTCAGCCAACAAACAGAGTGCCTCACTCAAACCGCCCGGTCAAGCGGTGGCCCATTCTTGACAAAGAGTTCCCAAGAAGCAGGGATCTCAGACTCCAACAAACTTCTCTTGACTTTTGCTTGTTGGCATTCGGTTTGGGTCCTTTGGCTTTCATTGCGTTCAGAAGTTGGGTTGGGCTCTAACAAAAGGGTTCTCGGAACATGATTCTCCTTTGGTGCAAGCGATCCAAGCCCGGTTAAATGCACTTTAGAGGGACACCCTCAGAGAAAAAAAAGGCAAGGCTTCAACCACCTGTCGGCCCAAAAATAAGCTTGCCAGCAATGCATCAATCCCCAGCTCCTCGATGACGTCGCTGCACTGGCCGAGAACCTGCGACGGGGGTGCCCTTTTGGGGCTTTGTTTCAAGGGAAGACCTGAAAAGAAGCCACCCGTAGGATCTATATATGAGGAGCGGACGAAACCCTTTACTTGGCCTTAGTACTTTTTTTAACGTCATCGTTTTTGGGGGAGACCTCATCGTTTTACAGTGTTTTCGAACTTTGGCAGATCCGGCTCCAAAATCGCAACTTTCTAGCACAAGTCTAGTACGCGAAGTACACTTCCGCAGCTCCAGCTCGAAATTCGCAACTTTGTAGTACAAGTCTAGTACGCGAAGTACACTTCCGCAGCTCCAGCCCGAAAATTGCGAAATACAATTCCGCAGCTCCAGCTCGAAAAGCGAAACTTGGCAGGCAGTACAAGTCTAATACGCGAAGTACACTTCCGCATCTCCAGCTCGAAAATCGCAACTGTGCAGTACAAGTCTAGTACGCGAAGTACACTTCCGCATCTCCAGCTCAAAAATCACAACTTTGTCGCGCAAGTCTAGTACGCGAAGTACACTTCCGCAGCTCCAGCTCGAAAATCGCAACTTCGTAGTACAAGTCTAGTACGCGAAGTACACTTCCGCATCTCCAGCTCGAAAATCGCAACTTTGTAGTACAAGTCTAGTACGCGAAGTACACTTCCGCATCTCCAGCTCGAAAATCGCAACTTTGTAGTACAAGTCTAGTACGCGAAGTACACTTCCGCATCTCCAGCTCGAAAATCGCAACTTTGTAGTACAAGTCTAGTACGCGAAGTACACTTCCGCATCTCCAGCTCGATCATCGCAACTTTGTAGTACAAGTCTAGTACACGAAGTACACTTCCGCATCTTCAGCTCGAAAATCGTAACTTTGTAGTACAAGTCTAGTACGCGAAGTACACTTCCGCAGCTCCAGCTCGAAAATCGCAACTTTGTAGTACAAGTCTAGTACGCGAAGTACACTTCCGCATCTCCAGCTCGAAAATCGCAACTTTGTAGTACAAGTCTAGTACGCGAAGTACACTTCCGCATCTCCAGCTCGAAAATCGCAACTTTGTAGTACAAGTCTAGTACGCGAAGTACACTTCCGCATCTCCAGCTCGATCATCGCAACTGTGTAGTACAAGTCTAGTACACGAAGTACACTTCCGCATCTTCAGCTCGAAAATCGTAACTTTGTAGTACAAGTCTAGTACGCGAAGTACACTTCCGCAGCTCCAGCTCGAAAATCGCAACTTTGTAGTACAAGTCTAGTACGCGAAGTACACTTCCGCAGCTCCAGCTCGAAAATCGCAACTTTGTAGTACAAGTCTAGTACGCGAAGTACACTTCCGCATCTCCAGCTCGAAAATCGCAACTTTGTAGTACAAGTCTAGTACGCGAAGTACACTTCCGCAGCTCCAGCTCGAAAATCGCAACTTTGTAATACAAGTCTAGTACGCGAAGTACACTTCCGCATCTCCAGCTCGAAATTCGCAACTTTGTAGTACAAGTCTAGTACGCGAAGTACACTTCCGCATCTTCAGATCGAAAATCGTAACTTTGTAGTACAAGTCTAGTACGCGAAGTACACTTCCGCATCTTCAGCTCGAAAATCGCAACTTTGTATACAAGTCTAGTACGCGAAGTACACTTCCGCATCTCCAGCTCGATCATCGCAACTTTGTAGTACAAGTCTAGTACACGAAGTACACTTCCGCATCTTCAGCTCGAAAATCGTAACTTTGTAGTACAAGTCTAGTACGCGAAGTACACTTCCGCAGCTCCAGCTCGAAAATCGCAACTTTGTAGTACAAGTCTAGTACGCGAAGTACACTTCCGCAGCTCCAGCTCGAAAATCGCAACTTTGTAGTACAAGTCTAGTACGCGAAGTACACTTCCGCAGCTCCAGCTCGAAAATCGCAACTTTGTAGTACAAGTCTAGTACGCGAAGTACACTTCCGCATCTCCAGCTCGAAAATCGCAACTTTGTAGTACAAGTCTAGTACGCGAAGTACACTTCCGCATCTCCAGCTCGAAAATCGCAACTTTGTAGTACAAGTCTAGTACGCGAAGTACACTTCCGCATCTCCAGCTCGAAAATCGCAACTTTGTAGTACAAGTCTAGTACGCGAAGTACACTTCCGCATCTCCAGCTCGAAAATCGCAACTTTGTAGTACAAGTCTAGTACGCGAAGTACACTTCCGCATCTCCAGCTCGAAAATCGCAACTTTGTAGTACAAGTCTAGTACGCGAAGTACACTTCCGCAGCTCCAGCTCGAAAATCGCAACTTTGTAATACAAGTCTAGTACGCGAAGTACACTTCCGCATCTCCAGCTCGAAATTCGCAACTTTGTAGTACAAGTCTAGTACGCGAAGTACACTTCCGCATCTCAGATCGAAAATCGTAACTTTGTAATACAAGTCTAGTACGCGAAGTACACTTCCGCATCTTCAGCTCGAAAATCGCAACTTTGTAATACAAGTCTAGTACGCGAAGTACACTTCCGCATCTCCAGCTCGAAAATCGCAACTTTGTAGTACAAGTCTAGTACACGAAGTACACTTCCGCATCTTCAGCTCGAAAATCGTAACTTTGTAGTACAAGTCTAGTACGCGAAGTACACTTCCGCAGCTCCAGCTCGAAAGTCGCAACTTTGCAGTACAAGTCTAGTACGCGAAGAACACTTCCGCAGCTCCAGCTCGAAAATCGCAACTTTGTAGTACAAGTCTAGTAAGCGAAGTACACTTCCGCATCTCCAGCTCGAAAATCGCAACTTTGTAGTGCAAGTCTAGTACGCGAAGTACACTTCCGCCTCTGCAGCTCGAAAATCGCAACTTTGTAGTACAAGTCTAGTACGCGAAGTACACTTCCGCAGCTCCAGCTCGAAATTCGCAACTTTGTAGTACAAGTCTAGTACGCGAAGAACACTTCCGCAGCTCCAGCTCGAAAATCGCAGCTTTGTAGTACAAGCCTAGGCTGTACGCGAAGTACACTTCCGCATCTCCAGCTCGAAAATCGCAACTTCTCAGTACAAGTGTCGTATTTACAGAGCCGTGTGTTCGTTAAGGGTCATCGTTTTTGGGGGAGACCTCATCGTTTTCCATGGTTTTGGGATGTGTTACTCAAAAGCGTGCCCCGTCTTGATAAAGTGGTCTACGCGTGTTTTGTCCGTGGCTCATATATTATCTATGGTCTATATCCTATTTGAGACGTGAGCCCCCGGACAAAATTACAAATGCTTCCCCAAGAAAACATCGGAGAATCGGTGAGCCTCCTGGTGCCTGTCGGCAATTGGGAAAGCCCCTCCCTAAACTAACAAGCAAGAGACTCGCGGTAGTTTGGTGGCCCCTGCCACATGCCACAAAGGCCTAAATACATATGCAAACCTTCCAATAGTTCCAACAGCGAAACGGCATCCCCGAGCCAACAGAAACTGCATGGCTTACCCTCAGGTGAGCACGCCAAATAGGCAGATGTATGGGTACACAACATGCAGAACCATAATTGCATATGTGCCAGGGGCACGGGCGCACTGGATCCGAATGGTCGCGTTCTTGAAAAACATGTGGTCTCCAACAAAGCTCCATGCCGAAAAGGAACCTCAGAATGGAATCAGACAGTTGGGAGCATGGACTCCTCAATGGTTGAAACCCAGCGTAGCAAGTGAGCCAATCACGTTTAATTACCCAAAACTCTGCGTAAGTTGCAGGAAATCCGGGATTCTTCTGGCCCCCGACCAACAACTTTTGGGGAAGCGTAAAAACAACTAAACGGCATATTGGTGTGCTTCTTGTGGAGGAAAACCCAAAGGGAAAATGGCCATGTCGCGGGGACCCTTTTTGACACATGCATCCAGTGAAACGAGCTGTGGCTGAGCACGAGCATTTGAAGCTTCATTCGAAGAAGGGTGCAGCCTTTTGCCGGAGCAACCTATATAAGCAGACAAGACGTGTAAGCCAATTGAGCCACGCTATGGCATTCTTCTGGTTGAATGAAATAGATCCACAAATCTGAAGGGACCCGCGCAAGAAAGGAACCTGTATGGTGAGGTCGCAAACCAAATCCCTGTGTAAGGTCGCCATGCCCTGGTTTTGGGTACTCTTTCTCGTCCTCAAACGTCAGCCCAAATTGGGCCCCGACACACCCAGGGAGAAACAACAAACAAAAACAACTGGATTAGACCTGCGACAAGCCAAACTTTGCTTCTGGCTTCGGACACAATCATCTGACAGCCTCAAGGATTAGTTCAGTCGAAGAAAAGAGCAAGCAAAACAAGACGGTGATCAATCTGCGTTTTGCCTTTATGTCCAAATCCTCAAACAGGAATTGAATCCCCGAGTCAAGGACCTACATAGCGAATCACTCGTTAACCCCCGGATCGGTGTCCGCTGAAATCGGTCAGCCATGTGGCTTCTCCTCTGGGGAAATGCAAACGCCAACCCGGTTGGGTTCAGTTTGAAGGGAACCCAACCATAGCTTAAGCCGCGGGGAAGCCGCTGATGCGAAACACGTCTCTACCTTCGTAAGTCTCCAAGAGCCTTACGGTACCCGAGAGCTTGAGAGCCAAGGCGTGATACAGCCTGGTATCAACTTCCCTCCAGTCAAGATGTTCAACCGATGGAGGGGCTGAACAAAGACCAACGTCGCAGATCTTCAAATCGAGAGTGCAGTTCGCAGGTAGAACCAGGGCAAAAAACCGCAGTGTCCCTTCAAACACGGCTCAAAATCATCCATTTGGGGGGGAGAGGCGTTGGCCAACCCACACTTCTTGGGAATCCACAAAGGGTCCCGGGGTCCCTTTCACCCAACGGAAGCCGCCGGGTCAAACCACGGCGTCTCCACGAATGCGATGCAACGAGGCACGACCCTGAAGCGTACCTCGTTCTCCTTCTTCTTGGTGCTCGATCTGACGGACCCGGCGTGGTTCTTTGCTTGAAGAGGGTTCCCAATATGTCCAACCACATCAAGGGAAGCTCACCCATAGGCCCAAAAGGTGACGTTTCAAACCACCAAACGGAAGGAAACAAATAGGGACCCGAGTTGAAACTCAAACCCAGTGCTTCTTGACAAGCCATGAATCATGATGCAAATGCAAAAGGCAAACGCATCCGGATACTTGCTTTAGTGCTGACTGGAAGCGCTGGGATAAATAATTGCAGCAGAGGCCTTGCTTGGACCCTGCAACAGCGAGCACGTTGGCAGGGACCTGAAATGCGGCAGTGCCCGTTGATTAGTGAAAAAATGTGTTGCACGTTTGGGAAAAAGCCCAAGCCGTCCGGCAAATCCATTGAACAGCCGCAAATTCAATGCGACTCCATGTTCTTGACCCTCACATTCCATTGACACCAAACCTGCGGACCGATTGTTTCAGCCATGAAACAGCATAGAGTCCAATCTTGCATGTACAGCCCCTGAAGGTGGTCCATCTCGTGCAGATTTTGGAACATATCGCGAATATGTTCCTGGCATATCGTTGTTTCCTGATGAGTCAGGAAAATCGACCATAAACTCCTCGCAAAGCAGTCATAAGCACCTACGGTGCACGAGGCACACGCAGCAAGAATGTCTTCCAAGCTGATCATTCTGGTACCTTGCCCAGTGCTTTCAGTTACCACTGCGAGTAACCAGATACGTGTGCCATCGTATACCTCTAGGCTTTTTGGATTCCCCTCTCCCAGCATGATGGCTTGCTTGAAAGGACTGGGTTAAACAAATATAAAAATATGTACCTTTCAGCAAGCTTAGCGGTCAATCCTGGCAGCTTAGCTTCTTGGGGACAGGCATAAAACCAAGCGGCCCAGTTGCCAAGTTTTGACACGGTTTGACACGGTTTGACTCAAAAGACTTTCCGGACCCCTCGATCCACTTCATGGCCATGACTATCGTTCCAGTTTTTAGTCAGGCCGGGGGGGGGGGGGGGGGGCATTTCTGCACTTCTGGGAGCTCGACCCCGTGAATTTCTGGTTTGGCATGCAGGTAAACGAGCCACACGATTGATCCGCCGAAATCGAAACACGGTAAGGGCGTCCCTTCCGATCTGCCAACAACGAACAGGCTGCGTAGATGTGGTCTCTGGACACTAAAGTGGGATCCCAAACCTCCGCCATGTTTAACACTTCGCTGGGAAACTTGCCCGGCAGCGGATTCAGGAGTCCAAACGCAAATTGACCGCCAGAAGGATATTATGTGTGCGAATCCGAATCGAAGCTGAAGCAACAGTTGTGAGTTGACATGCCAAAGCTTATATAATTTGTGGGTTCCCCTTTTGGCTCTGCGACCAACAAGAATCTAGACACGCTCCTACCTTTTGGCTTCCCTCTTGAGCCTGATGTAAAAACGCCCTCCTCTCAAGTTTCAACCAACATCCTGGTGGCTTCCGTTTTTTCCGCCGACCTTTGGCCTTTCCGTAACCCGCCTGAAGCAATCCGGCCCCATCGATCAAACGCCCTCGGGGTTGCTCCGAAGACACCATGGTCCCCGCTTAAAAAAGCAGACCAAAGGCACGCCAAAGGAAGCCAAAGGCGACGACAGGTGCTTTGGTCGGGCTCCAAAAAGAGCCACCCCCCAGTTTAAAAGGTATAGGTTAAAGTAACTGGTGCTTTGGTCGGGCTCGAAACGAGCCACCCCGAATTTTAGAGCAGGAAGTGGTGTTTTCGCGGTCCGGTGGCCCTGGTAGGAACATTGCAGGAACTACGACTGGAGCCCATCGCAGGGGTGAGGTGCGCTGCCTGGAGAGCCCGGGGGAGGTGATATTGAAGAGCGCACGGAAGGAGCGCATCACCTGGATCGAGGCAACAGACTTTGGTGTGCGTTTTCTGTGATCGCCCCCTTTGGGCTCGCTTTCAAAAGGGAACCATAGGGGAAACCAAAAGGAAATGGCATCCTTAGTAGGAATGCTTTGTAGGGAAGACCAAAACGGCCTGATTGGGAGTGTTCTTCGTTTAGAGGGGTTGGCAAAAGGGAAAACCCGCCGTTTTTGATCAACCCTTGAGTCCCGTCAGGTCATGAGAATCAACAGCTACACCAGGCTCCGCTTTTCACATCAAGAAGGTCCCCCGTCAAGCGAAAGAAACTGCGTCAGGAACAAGTGTTGAACTGATAGAAGACATTCAAGGGATGCTGAATCACCCCAACAGAGACCCACCCTCAACAAACCCTTGCCCTACACATCCCCAAGCTAACCGAATCCCAAAGCCAACCCTAAATGGCACACACACACACGCACACACACATACACATTTGAATTCCCATTAATCATTCCAAACAAGTTGTAGCGTTTTGGTTTCCCTTGTTACCACTCTGAAAACAAGGGCCTGATGATTTCATCCCCTCCTTTCTCTCACCCTCCAACCTCAACACCACCCTAAGCCCCTTTTGAGGTGATATCTACCTTTTGTGGGCCCATCAACGGTCAGCTGGGGGTCATGTAGACGCACAATCGGGTCTCCCTGCAGTTTGTCACCGGGTACTCTTTGATGGTTTCCTGAAAAGAAACAAACCCTGGCAATTCCTGGAATTGGACGCTTCCTCAAAAAAAACCAACAACAATCCCCCAACCCCCCGGACTCGTCACCCGGGGACCCGCTGGACCCGCCTCCTCCAGTTCCACCACTCGCTGCGCCAAGGCCGAGCTCTTGGCGAAGTCCATGATCTCAGCGTCCGAGTGCTTCGCTTTGGAGACTGACACTTTGGATGTGTCCCGGACCCTTACCTTACCTTCATCTACCCGAGTTTTGATTGTGGCCCATATGAATTTCAATCGGTCCCGGACCCTTTGGACGGGAAGGTGTTGACAGCTCGTTTGAGTGTAGATCATCTAGGTGGGGGCTCATGTTGAGTGTAGATCATTTAGGTGTGAAAAGCAAAACCCGGTATTGAAATTGTCGTACTGCCTAATATGAAGAAATGAAAGCAGGCCGCGGCGATTGGTTGGGATGGTCTCTTACCTTCATCAACCCGGGTTTTGATTGTGGCTCATGTGAATTTTCATGGGGCCCGGACCCTTTGGTGGACATCATTTAGGTGGGGAGCAATGTCCCCCAGCCACTTGTGAGGTGGTTCCCTATTGAAATTCATAGCCATTTCGGGCGAACCAGTGGAATCAGGCTGTCCTTTTTGACACCGCAGAAAAGAAATGCAATGCTTGCCCAAACTGGCAAGCAAAGCCAATGCTTGGGCCACAAGGATAATTGTTTTTGGGCCCACTGCAAGGCAAACAAGACGTATCCAGGCCTTTGCCCATGGAAAAGCTGGCAAACAACCTTGCCAACCGAAGTGGAAACTGGAAGTACTGGGTGTCAAACACGCATAGGGTCATGGTCCCCATACCCTCCCCAAACCAATATTATGGGCGTGGCAACCAAGGAGGTCGGTGCCTCCATTTGGAGGCAAACCCTCATCATGATAGGTTCTGATTGCAGATCGCTGCGTCAAAACTCCCAAAGGCCAGAAAAGATCGAAGAAGGTCGACCAAAAGTGTCATTTTGCAGTCGAATCTCTAAGACACAAGACATAGGTACCACTGTGTAGGTAGAAGGTGTAACTGGTGAGTATGTAGGTATTTGTCTCTGCGGGTGGCTTGCGGCCTGCTACAATATTGCCAGCAAAAAGCTGTGTAAGGAACTACTAAATTGTTGCGTGCCTCATGTTGGAAACGTACCATTCTTCGGCCAGCGGATACGAGGTGCCACGTTCAGTCTTGCATGGTTTCCATTCGTTACCCACTCTCACTCACAAGCTTGTATCTGAATATCCAGCGCGGCTGTCTTTCTTGCCTCTTGGATTCGATGTTAACCCCGCATTAAAAAAAAAGAAAAAAGAAAAAGATTGCCCTCCTGTCCCTTAACATATCTTAACATGGAACCCACTAAAGGGTACCCTTGAGAAGGAAAATCGTCCAAGTCCGAATCCCCTCACCACGCTGTGTCCAGTTGCAGGGGATGAGCAGATTCGAAAGGTGCCACGCCCCTCATTGACTCCCTACCCAAAGGGGATGCATTAAACAAGAAAGGAACCATACGTTTTCTACCTCAGCCTTTGCCACCCCAAAGTATGCTTGTATATATCGTCCATATTCACTTAAGCTCATTACAACAAATGATCCCAGTTATCATCCTAGAAGTTCCCTCTTCACAAAGCTGGAGATAAGAGCTGAGACAAGTGAACGTGTTGCCTCTGTCTCTCGTCTTCCTTGTGTCTGCCCTTTTCGAACCCGCCTGCCCTTTTCGGTTTTGGTTTCGTGCATCCGGCGCATGGACTCGCCTGGCAGGTGATGCGGTTCAAGGAGTCGAGACACTCCACCATGGCACTGTTGGTGAGGTCAAACAGCCCCACCTCGGATCGCGGATAAAACGATGCAGAAACAACATAGCCACCCACGCCCTGGGCGTCGCGGAGTATTTCTTGGAGAAAAGGACACGAATGCCGCTGGCAAATGAGAAGTAACGTAGTAGAGTTGTGATGAAAAAAATGGTGCAATTAATTAGAACCACACCAAAACCAATGGAATCCGTCTGTGTTCCACCAAACTGACCTAAAAGGAAACCTATGTAATCCAAGATAGACATCAAAGTTGACCCCGTGGTGATTCTGGGAAGGTGCCAGCTTTAGGTGATCCGTTGAAAGAGAAATTTATGCAAAAGGAAACAGGGCATTTTGATGGGCGCCCTGTTTTGAGAAGCATCCTCGGGACGAACCAGGGGTGCCTCGTGGTTTCGGACATGTTGTTTTTGTTCAGGGGCATTCCTCTTCTGGTCTTCCGAATTGTTCAAACTGTCTGAACCAAAGCCTCCGAATTTAGAAGCTAAACCTTGACATGTTCCGCACCAAGAAGTTGAACAGTTGGTTGCTGGCAGAGCGCAAGGTAATCCTCCCAAAGTGCGACCAATTGTTGGTGTGGCAAGGCCTGCTTCCCTTATGACAATCCGTGGGCGTTTCTCAAAATCAGGGCTCCCCGCCTGAAAAAAGAAATGCGCAACCCGCCTTCTTGCCTGGTTTATCTGCTTGCATCTTTGGACCCATAGTCACAGCTACAATGTGCATATGTAATCAAGGATGACACACAATCTCAAACCCCACAAAAAAAAGAACACTGACCACAGCGCCAATTGGAAGCAACGCGGAGGGTCAAAATAGGTGAACGTGTTGCTCCAAAAGGCGAGATGCAACAAGCTGAAACAGTGACCTGGCCTTTCTACAGCCACCTGTTCTGGCGGTGTAGGTTGGGTGGAACCC